GCAGCAACATACTGTTTGAGCTTATTGCTCGTACTATGTAGCAGCTTTCGTCAAACGTTCCTCCTGTCTTGACAGTAGGTGCGCATATCTGACACTAGCCTATAGATCTCTTTCTATTATAATACGTGTAATGAGGTAGGCGCCCCGCCTGCCAAGCCGATACTATACGACTTTCCCTACTGTACTAAAAGATACGCACGAGAATACTTAAGCTAAGTATTCTCGCATAGTATAATATATATATAGGTAATGCTAGGGTAAGCACTAGCACTAGCGGTTGTCTCTAGCCTAGCCTAAACCTCTATAAGCAAGAGAAGGCCACGTAGTTGACTGTGCCAACCTTGTTACAATACGCTTAGATTAGCTATTATGCTAGAGCTAGCTTTAGAATATCTATATTATATTTTTACTTCTATCTATCTCTTTAATTATCTTATAATCCTACTTTTATAATAGTGTATAGAAAACGTATACTTATTTATAACTTTTTCCTCTCTCTATACTTTGTTTAAATAGATACTAGTTTTAAAATTAAAATTTCTCTTTTTTCTAGCTAATCTAAGTCTTACTTTTATGTATATAGAAATAAGATTTAGTTACTTCTTTATAATCTAATTTATAATATAGGCTTTGCTAGACCTAGCTTAAGTATTTATTTAACTATAAAGAACTTTAAGTTAAGCTCTTTACGCAACGTCTTGTATAGTAGAATATTACATAAGAGACTAAATTAAACCTCTTGCTTCTAGTGTAATTTAAGCTTTTTAATTAACAATTAACTGCCTTCTATAATAGCATGTTGTAATAGAGGCCTTTAATTTTCTTACCTCTAATATAGATTAAATCTTAGCTTTTTATAATTTACTTAATTTGCTATTCTTGCTTTATTTACTACTAATTTTCCTGCTTAGCTTATGTTGCATAGTTAATAGTTGATGTTGAGAAGAGTGAAGTTTAGTAGTTAGCGCGTCGTTAGCAGTTAGGTGTACATATGCTAATGTCTTAGCACAATACGTACTCTATTGTTCCTTCGCAAAGTCTTACCTAACAGCGAAGTAATTAGAAGGAAGAAGAGCATGTGGTTCGAGAAATTCGCTTATTTAATTAAGAGAGAGAAAATTTGCAGCCACCAAGGTGTTCGTCGGTCCCGAAAACTGCTATGGGCGACGAGTAACCAATGCATCGACCGTCCGACTTAGTCGACCTTAGAAACCGGATCTCTCCCATTTTGCGCATGTGTCCTTCAAAATATTCGTGATTGCTTTGACCTGTTTTTTCTACATTAACAATGCTTCGCAAGAACTGTGATGAGCTTGAAACTTACCCTGTCATCTTGATCAAACAAGTCGAAGTGATTCCCAAAAACATGGTGCACTGTTTGAAACAAATCACCCCCATAACGCTCCCAACCTAGTAGTTTATCGTCTCGATTGATATCTACATCAAGAAGTCCGTCTGGCCTCGACTTCGGCAGCGGTACGCGTGCCGTGGCTTTGAGAAGCACAACGGGTGGACATGACGATACTGGTCGTACTCGCTGACCTGAGCCATTACCCTGCAGAGTGCTCTCACCTCCATTCTCATCTACATGGGCACTCCAGCGTGGAGGTTCCCAGTTGCCTATGAGTTCATCGCAGACTTCAAATCGTCGCATGACGTTTTTGCGCACCGACTGGGGAGTCCAGCTCGGAAATTCTGGTTTGAAATTGACAAAACGGTCGCGGTACTCTCGCCATGGCGGCGTATACGGGCTATCGACGAGGATGATGCCGGCGGCGAAAAGAGGTTGGGTGCCATGCTCGGTGTGCCGCCGCTCGTCGTCCAACTGCCGCGCAATCTGGAGAGACACAAGGCCGCCCAACGACCAGCCTTTCAACAAAGATGTTCAAGTAAGCGATTTGTGCAGAGCCGGGGCGAAAGGCGTTGAAAACTCTATACTAACCCCCAAGAACAATCGGTCCCTTTTTCCTCACCGTCCGGATGAATGTGATGTATTCTTGCGCCATCTCTGCAATTCCGCCTGCCCAGCCGTCATCGCTCTCGAATTTGGGGTCATGGATACCGTAGACGCTGCGGCCGAGATCGCCCAACATGAAATAATTGAAAATCGTGCCTCCACCATCGTGAATAAGAAAGAGGGGAGCTGCGTTGCCGGGGGCGTTCTGCAGCTGGATAGGATTCGCTTCAAGAAAAGTCATGGCGAAAGACAAATGCAGAGGGGTGGAGACCAAGAGAGCAAGCCGGACGAATTTAATAAGCAGCGATTCCAATGAGAACACAGCAACGCGGCTGAGCCTCGAAGTCAGTCTGTAGTCGGTTCTGCGGCCTTGGCCTTCACCTTAGAGCGCGTCGTCTCAATCATCAATCAAATAATACACTATCTCTACCGCCAAGCCCTCTCTCCTATTGGTCTGGATATAAGCCGGTTATTGATCTGATTGGTAGAAAATTAAATAACTAAAAAGCTTTGTTGTTCTACGTTTTTAAGCTTTAAGTAATTATTCTGCTCTGCTAGATGCTTAATCTAGCCTTCTTTTTTCCTTATCATAATCAAAGACAACGCGGTTAGGGGTGTTAAAATCACTTCTGCTGCGTGGTTTTTCCCTCTAAATATGATTAGCGCTGCTAAGACCTTCTAAGCAAAGCCCGTTATCCTTCCTAATCAGGACTAGCCACTTTCTTCCTGGAAAGGAAGGATAATCTGCTCGTGTGCACACACCATCACTCGCTAACAGCGGCCCGCAGCGGCTACTAAGAGCGTGGGCATATGGGGACTCGGCAGGCGAAGAGTGCACTGGACATACAGTACGGCCCGGAGGAATCCAGCCAGGGTCAATTGCGGGACCGTACCGCAACGCCTGCCGCGTCGTAGCAATGATTGTGTGCAGGGCATCCCTGCACCGGCTGTAAGCGCTAACACGGCCAACTGGGCCCCTTTCGTACACAGTGTGCCTTACCTCACTAAAACCGTTTTCGGTCCCCCTAACGTGCTCTCGACAACACCTCATCAAGAGCCAACACAACTAACTGGGCCCCTTTCGTACCCACTGACTGTGCCCCGCCTCAATAAAACCGTTTTCAGTCCCCTTTTCATAAGGAGCTCTCGAAAACACCTCATCAAATCCGTTCTGGTCGGAATACCGCTTTGTTCCTGTTGTGACAACATGGCGAACTCTGGAGAGGGCTCCGCCGGCCAGAAGTCAAAGGTGGGCAAGGCCCTGCGGAAGAAGCTCGGCCAGGGCGGGTTCGTGCGAATTTTGGGCTATGCCACTTGGTTCGACCGCTTGCTCATGACATTAGCAGCTGCCTGCTCTGCGGGTGCAGGCGCAGCGCTGCCGATTATGACCATTGTGTTTGGCAAGCTTGTCGGCAACTTCACGGGCTACTTCACGGCGGGATCAGCCGTCACCGAGAAGGAGTTTCGCGATGGCGTGGATCGCAACGCCCTTTACCTTTTTTTGCTCTTTATCGGCAAGTTCGTTCTTGGATACGTCTCGACGTATGCCTTCCGCATGAGCGGCATTCGTATTTCGGCGGCGCTGCGCCTCGCGTATCTTTCGTCGCTTTTCGAGCTCCCCGTTAGGTTCATCGACAAGCTGCCGGCGGGCGAGGCTACTGACGCCCTGACGAATACTGCAAACACCATTCAGTTCGCCATATCAGACAAATTGGGCTCGATGGTGCAAGGCTTCTCACTTGTGATTGCGGCCTATGTCATTGCCTTCGTCTACTCGTGGAGGCTGACACTTGTATCAAGCTCGGTCATTATCTTTGTCACCACCATGCTGAGGATCACAACGCCTCATCTTATGAAGCACTACATTTCGATATTTGGGATGAATGCGGGGGCATCTGGTGTAGCTGGTGAGGTCCTCCGAGGGATACGGACCATCAAATCGCTTGGTGCTGAAGAGGAGGCTATGCGATGGCACAGTAAGTTCCTGGACCTTGCCCAAGTATCCGGGTCTAAGCTGTCCATCTGGGTGTCGATGCAGTTCTGGCCGGCTTTCTTTGCCACGTACGCAAATATGGCACTTACCTTCTGGACTGGCGTCAAGTTCTACTCAGAGGGCTTGATCCCAGGCGTCGGCAATCTTACCACGTAAGTTTACGGAAGTCCACTCTTCGTATTATTATCTTTTGCCTAACAATGCTATAAACAGTGTCCTGTTCGCGGTCTTGATTGTCCTGGCAGGAATGGGCAACATCTTCACACCCTTGCAGTCAATCATCCGAGCCTCTTCCGCTTCAGTCTCAGTCTGGAAAATTATAGATGCGCCGAAGCCGAAGCCCGGCGGGCTTCAGCCACCCGATGTCAAGGCTGAGGAGGATGTCAAATTCGAGAACGTGCGATTCACGTATCCCAGTAGACCCGAGGCAGAGATCTTGAAAGGTGTCAATTTTACGATAAAGAGTGGGCAAGTAACCGCCTTTGTCGGTCATTCTGGCTGTGGAAAGAGTACAATTGTCGCGCTGCTGGAAAGGTGGTATGAGCTATCGGACATCAACGAGGCACTCTCCAATGCGGCCACGGCGACTCAGATTAAAGTTGAAGCCCCGATAACAGACGGCTCGGAGACGAGCGACTCTACGGGGATCAGGGAGAACAAAGTTGAAGAGAAGAGCGAGAGTGGCGTGGAGAGCGAGGCTGGCGTGTTTCAGAATGCCGGCCGGATCCTGGTCGGTGAGCGCAGCCTTGAGGAGATCGATCGCAAGTGGTGGCGGTCTCAGATCGGTCTCGTACAGCAAGAGCCAGTACTTTTCAACGAGACCATCTTCGAGAACGTGTCCAAAGGCCTTCTTGGTTCTCAGTGGGAGGATGCGCCACGTGAAGAGAAGCTTCAGCTGGTTGAGGAGGCATGCAGAGAAGCGTTCGCGGATGAATATATTTCAAAATTTCCCCAGGGCTACGACACCGTCGTGGGCGAGAGCGGGATAAAACTATCAGGAGGGCAGCGACAACGTTTAGCCATTGCACGCAGCATCATCAAAAAGCCTACGATCCTGATCCTTGACGAAGCGACGAGTTCGATCGATGTTCGCGGTGAGCAGCTCGTCTCTGCAGCTCTAGACCGTGCATCTAGAGGAAGGACGACTATCGTCATAGCGCATCGTCTGTCTACAATCCGACGTGCTGACCACATCGTTATACTTCAAGAAGGCAGGGCCATCGAGGAGGGGACGCACGATGAACTAGTAGCCAAAGAAGGCGGCCTCTACTCTGACCTTGTTCAGGCATCAAACCTTGAGTTTGGCCACCACGAAGAGGAAGCACTGATTCAACATGAAGAAGGCGAGTCCGAGACGTCACATCTCGAGAAGCAGCAAGACTCTGTGCAGGAGCATAAGAGCCTCAACAGCGTATTGCATAAAGTGAAAGCAAAAGTATCCTTCCGATCGGTCGGATATTTGTTGATTGAACAGAAGCGCTACTACCTTCTCTACTTCTTCGCACTTGCTGGCGCGATGGGCGCAGGTGCTGCTGTACCCGTACAAGCTTGGGTCTTCTCGCACATCATCACCGTCTTTCAAGAAACCGACAAACACAAATTAGAAGACGATGGGAGTTTCTGGGCTCTGATGCTCTTTATCCTAGCCATTGCCGCGGCCATCTCCTACGCCACTATCGGCTACTTCAGTAACACAATTTCTTTCCGCGTTAGCACGGTGTACAGGAAAAGCTACTTTGAAAGCGTTGTTATGAAGCCGATTCATTGGTTCGACGACGAAGACCGCTCGTTCGGCACTTTGACTGCACAGCTTGGGAGCGATCCTCAACAGCTTCAAGAGTTGCTGGGTGTTAATATCGCTTTCCCGCTCATTGCTATCTTTAACCTCATGGGCTGTACCATCGTCAGCTTCGTCTTTGGCTGGAAACTGAGTCTAGTGATCTTCTTCGCCTCGCTTCCAGTCATTCTGATTGCGGCTTTCTTCCGCATCCGCTACGAGATGTTATTTGTCGCTATGAATGAGAAAGTCTTTGCAGAGTCGAGCAAGTTTGCCGCTGAGGCAATCACTTCCTTCCGGACCGTTACGGCTCTGACTTTGGAAGACGCCATCTCAAAAAGATACAAGTCACTGTTGGATGGACATATCCACGATGCCTTCCTGAAGGCTCGGTTCACTATCCTCGTCTTCGCATTGAGCGACAGCTTAGAATTCTGCTCGATGGCTCTCGGCTTCTGGTATGGAGGCCGACTGTTGGCGACTAGAGAGTATGACTCTATGCAATTCTTTATCATCTACGCCGCACTCATCCAGGGCGCTCAAGCCGCCGGACAGTTCCTTGCGATTGGACCGAACGTTGCCAATGCTACTGCGGCAGCCAACCGCATCATCGCTTATCGACAAGGTTCTGAATCCATCTCTGCCAAGAAGAGCGACAACGACAACGACAAACCTACTGGTTGCAAACTCGAATTCCGCAATGTAGGCTTCCAATACCCAACTCGAGACGTACCAGTCTACAGAAATCTCTCATTTACTATTGAGCCGGGACAATTTGTGGCTTTTGTAGGCCCATCAGGCTGCGGCAAGACGACCATCGTCTCGTTGCTCGAACGCTTCTACAACGTCAACACGGGCTCCATTCTCATCAACGACCAAAACATCACCGACCTCCCTCTATCACACTACCGCAGCCTATGCGGCCTAGTGTCGCAAGAGCCCACTCTCTTCGACGGGACGGTACGAGAGAATCTCATCCTCGGGCTACCATCCGGATCCGCTACTCCACAAGACGCCATCGACGCTGCATGTAAGGCAGCTGAAATCTACGACTTTGTCGTGTCACTCTCTCAATCTTTCGATACACCCCTCTCTGCAGGCATGCACTCAAGTCTCTCGGGCGGCCAGAAGCAGCGCTTGTGTATTGCGCGAGCACTTCTGCGAAACCCGCAACTGTTGATGTTGGACGAAGCGACCAATAGTCTTGACAGCGTGAGTGAGGGTTTAGTGCAAAAGGCTATTGAGCAGCTGGGCGGCAGCAGGGCGCTGACGATCATTGTGGTCGCACATCGATTGGCGACGGTGCAGCGTGCGGATCGCATCATTGTCATGGGTGAGGGAGGTGTAACTCTAGAGGATGGCACGCACAGTGAATTGATACAGAAGAAAGGCGTTTATTGGGATATGTGTAAGGCACAGGCCTTGGATCGGTAAAATCGATGTGGAATTTCATTGTTTGCTCTTCGGTTACAGCATGGCGAGCTCTACGGACGAGTAGAAAAGCACGGGTGGAGCATTGTTCGTCATGTGGAACACTCGACAGAGGTCAGGACAGCAAAATACTCTTAGCGGTATCCGCTGTGACAGCGGCGTTGAGTGTCTACGGATGCAATCTAGCTCATCTAAGAGAAGCGAAGAGGGGAGCCCAATCACCACTCTCATCGTCCCATTGTTGTTCGATTAACAAAGAAGTTTCGCGTGGGTTCCATCACTACGAGACTCTCTTGTAGGCAATCCACCAGGTCACCAAGAACTTAGAAGTTCTACCAAATATAGAGCTTTTTGTGGGTACGCTCCACACTACTGCTTTTTCATGTCCTCGTGTAGACAACGGGCCGATCACTGCCATTTCCAATGGCCTGATCGATCAGCAGCATACTGCAAATGTTGAGATGCCTCTGATCGGACTAGATGAGTGGGCCTTGCTGCAGTAAGACTCTTCACGTAACTAGCGAAGCTGTCGACACAGCTCTTCTCGTGTCAGACGTACTCCCAAGCTTACTTTCAGGCGTACAATTTGGAATAAAGGGCGGGTAATTACAGTAGTCGGTGAGGAAAGGAAGGAGTGAGATGACGTGACATGTGTCCTAACATATCGGCCCGTTTCAGAGCGACGTTGCGCTGCTTATGATTGAATCGTTGACTTCGCCGGAGGGAGGCAGCCGTACTAACATACCTCATTCCATGTCTCTCTATTATCCGGCATATCTTCACATTGCATAAATTTGTGGCCTCGACTGGAGCCCTGTGAGCTGTGCCACACGGAATACAGGGGATGAATACGGCCCCAGCCGCAGGGTAGTGTGATGGGGAAGACCCACTCAGAGTAGCTCACCATCTCGCACTGCCATTGGCTACTGGGTATTGCCATTTGCCAATACGGCACTAATCTGGCGTGACTGGATCCTCTTCACACCTTCGTTATTCCGGAAGGAATTTTGTCTATCACGGCGGTTCATTTATCAGAGACTGATTGCTAATTGTAGGGCGATATTTCGCTCATGATGAGCAGTACCAAAGACCCAGGAAGGAGATGCGTCAATTTGTGAAAGATGGGTCTGCAGAGATCTAACGGGAGCTAGACGTGGCGAGTTGCTAGGAGGTGGACTAGACACAGCAGATCTTTCACAGCAAAAGTGATTATGCTACATATTTGTATTTAAATACTATAACAAATTTTGGTTGAGCCTTTGCAATGTCCTGTACATGTAAGCTGTGCGTGGAACCGGTACATTTACTCTGGACGCTTGTGATAGTATATATCCTGTTGCTCAAGGTTAGTGTTCTACTGGGCAACGAGTGTACCGCGACATTCACTTACCGAACACTGGGGACAGCTCAATCGGGCGTCTCTTGCGAGCATCCTGTAATGTAGAGGGTACAATCGGCGTGGTCTTCCTTGCAAAATCGACCACTTGGAATGGAAAGTCTTCTTCAATATCGATGCCGCTTACCAGAGCAACATTGAATGCTTCTTCTGCAAGCTCCAGAACGACTTCTATCGCAGCAGGGATTTCGAGAAGCTGGTGAGTATTGAGGCCAGAGACCGCAGTAGTAGAGTTCCATGCATTGTTGAAGATCAACTTCTTCCACCGCTCCTTGTATACGCTCTCTATGCTCTTGATACAAGGATCCATTGCAGCAAGAAAATCGCGTCGGGCACTGTCTGCCCGATGGCCTTGTCCACTCCGCCCGGTGATGCCAACGAGGAATGGGGATTTGTTTATACCAGCTGCCTGGTCCACGAAGCCTGCGCGAAGTTGAGTGCAGTTAGTGTTGACCAGCATTGCGAGGACAGTGTTGTCCGGAAATGCCTCGATTAGCGGCGCTTCGACATTCATGCCGTTCTGTGCGGACACAATCGTCGTGCCTGGTTTTACAAGTGGTCCCAGATTCCTTGAAATGGTGGGCCAGTCATCCAGGACTTTGTTGGTGCAGACAATATAGTCGACTGGCTTCGAGAAGAGTGTCTCGCCAAAGGTGTCTACATGGCAGACCTGCCTAGGTAAGAAGCGGCCATGACCCCAAATAGTCGATCGTATCGAGTATCCAGACCTCTTGACAGTTTCATAGTTGGAACGACAGACGACTGATACGTGATTTGAGGCCCGTTGCGCAAGTCTCCACCCTATGACGGAGCCGACAGCTATTGGAGAGATTGTCAGCTTCTCTCTTGATCCGACGTATGGAAACTCCTCACCACCGCCGCCATATATCAGAATATTGCAACGAATAGCCATAGTTACGCTATACAGGTGGCATTAGCTGTTTTACTGGATGTCGGCTCGATTACACCTCTTGTGTCCGTCTCATTCAGCTTCGGGCTCTAACGGAACGACTCATATAATGGGATAATCTGCGGCCAAACTCTTACACGAACATCACGTCTGAGCAAATCAAAGCAAAGTGCTCCAAGTTCCCCGCAGGCACCTGGAGTCGGAGTCAGTTACCAGCCAGCCGATCCTTCATGGAGTCAATAAAAACCCAACAGCTCCGTATGAGGAGTCACCCGGCAATCCTACCGCATGGATCACTACTGCACAAGCAACAGAATGGAGCCAAGGTCTCACACCGGTACTTAGAACTTGGTATGGGTCGTTCAGGCCCTCATGGTGTCGTACGAGCGCTATGCTACACGGATGCTGAACCTTGCGATGATACACAGATGCTAAATCTTGCGATGCTTCTCAAGAAACGGTAAGAGCTAAGGACACGGCAGCTAGCGGGTCGAGCCTAAATTATAGCTCGGAAATATCCAGTGTAGTTTCCATCCTTTAGATCAGCATGCTTACGTGTGTTGCTCCGTGCAATATGCCGAAAAACCGCGACTGGCCATCCTACTACATACAACATCGGTCGCTGCAGATGGATACTGAGTGTAGCGCAGCATTCGTACAACGAGGGGCCCAGAACAGGGGGTACCGGGGATGGGGTAGCACTCAGTCTTTCTTGAATAGAGGATTGGCGATCTGCACGCTTACGAGCCTGGTTTTGTGCATGCCTTGCGCATATCGTATGCGTACATTACATAGAATTACGCCTCGTTTATGGATGTAGGAGCTGCTACAGCGATTCATACCTTTTTTTTTGACTGCAAGTCGGTGCCTCCAACAGGAACTTCAGCTTTTTCGCCGTCTATTCACAAGAACTAGAGTATGCAGAACAACGACGATAAATAGTTTACGTATGAGAATACTAAGCCCGATCTAGTAACAATGGAAGGAGCACTCGATATGTCGGTTCGCAAGCAGTTGGCTCACGAGTTTGATGGAGATCTAGGTAAGGTTGAAGACATCCTGCCATGCACGCCGTTTCAACGGGACGTGGTGGCATGGAGTGCGAGCAAACAGCAGGAGGCAGTCGGCCATGTCCTCCTTGAGATTACTAACAACACCGATATCGAGCGCTTGGCCGCAGCATGGAAGAAGGTGCATCACCTGATTCCAGCCTTCCGCACTTGCGTATTCACGTCCTCCTCTGGAGATTGCTTCCAAGCAATCTTGTCCGAGGCGATGGTTTGGAAACACGTCAAGACTTCGGACCTTGATAAAGTCGTTGAGGAGGAGAAAGCCGCCGCTATCGACGAATCCCAGTGGAACAGGTTCGCGGTAGTCGTGTCATCTGACGGGAAGCGGCGCAACTTGGTTTGGACATTTAGCTACGCGAACTTCGACAACTCCTTGCAGGAGCGCATCCTGGACATGGTGCATACCGCCTATATCGGTGGAGAGCTCCAGCCCTCTGGGGGACTGAAGACGATGGTCGAGTCGCTCGGTAAGAACTCTGAAAGGGCGGCGCGATTCTGGCAACAACGGTTTGACGGCTTCAACGCCGCTGTCTTTCCCGCACTGTCGTCTGTCAAGGTTGTGCCTCAGCCGGATGCTCGCGCCCAGCACGAATTCTCGTGCATCACTGGTCCGCACCAGAAATGGCCAAGCACAGTGATTTGTCGAGCCGCTCTTGTAGCGCTTCTCTCGCGCTACACTCACAATGAAGATGTGCTTTTCGGCGCTATAACAGAGCGGCCTCCTGTGCTTGACGGGTCAGAGCAACTAGTTGACGGTCCCACTAGAGCGCTAGTGCCTGTCTGCACGCGACTTTTGCCTGAAATGAGTATTTCGCACTTGATGGATGCAGTCGCCGAGAACCACACTGCTGTACACGAGTTTGAGCAGACTGGCCTCCGACCTCTTGCCAATGTTGAAGGCGAAGAATCGGCGGCCGGTGCATTTCAAATTATACTGGCAGTGACTGCTCCCGGTATTACTCATGCGTCAAGTTCCGCCCTATATCGCCCTACAGTCACTCCGGATAGGTTCGCACCTTATGTCAACCGCGCCATTTTGATCCATTGCCACATGTCCCAGGCTTGGGCATCATTGTCAACTCGATACGATCCGAGGGTCATCGATACTCCTCAAATCAACCGGTTCCTTACACAGCTAGGGGCTTTGATTCAGTGCTTTTCCAATCCCGAGGTCGACGTACCTGTAAGGTCACTGGACATGGTCACCCCAGAAGACCGCGCAGAAATTAACTCTTGGAATTCGACCCAACCTCAGCCCCGCGAAGTCTGCATCCACGACGTAATCTCTCGATTTTCGACCGATACTCCTCAGAAACACGCTGTATCTGCCTGGGATGGCCAGTGGACATACGCTGAACTTGAAAATTTGTCGTCTCGTCTCGCGGTATACATCCTATCTCTCAATTTGGATATGGGACGGGCGGTACCCTTATGCTTCAACAAGTCCAAATGGACGGTTCTTGGGATGCTCGCAGTCCTCAAGGCTGGTGGCGCATTCACCCTCATCGACCCCTCCCTTCCAGCAGCCAGGATCGTCAGCATATGTCAGCAAAGTCAGTCCAAGATCGCGCTGGTTCCTAAGGTTCACCTTGATACTATGCGTACCGCCATAGGTTATTGCATTGCTGTTAACGACGACCTGATACAGTCCCTTCCTCGTGACGAGACTCGGCTTAAACCCGTCGCAAAGCCGAACGATCTGGCGTACATCCTGTTCACCTCCGGTAGTACGGGAGAACCCAAAGGATGTATGATCGAGCACCGAGGATGGGCTTCGTGTGCTCTTGAATGGGGCCCTGCACTTGGGATCAATCAGAGTACCCGTGCGATGCAGTTCGCATCGTACAGTTTTGGTGCTTCCCTAATCGAGACCCTAGCTCCTCTAATGCTTGGCGGTTGCGTCTGCATTCCTTCCGACGATGAGCGTATGAATGATCTTCCAGGCTTCATGAAGCGAGCGCATGTGAACTGGGCATTCTTTACTCCTTCGTTCGCTGGGACGTTCCATCCAGACAGTGTTCCCGGGCTTCAAACTCTGGTGCTGGGTGGCGAACAAATGTCGGAAGACGTCAAGAACACCTGGGCTCCACGAGTTCGGCTTTTCCACGCCTATGGCCAAAGTGAAAGCTCGAGTATTTGCACGTACACTCCGCTTAGCGAAAACACCACTCAGGTGAACAACATCGGCCGGGGAATTGGTGCGCGACTCTGGATTACAGACCCTGATGACGTAAACAAGCTTGCCCCTATTGGCGGCATCGGCGAACTCGTGGTAGAAAGTCCCGGAATCGTGCGATCGTACCTGAACCCGTCAGCCGGCGACGCGAAATCTTTCCCTGACCTCACACCCACGTGGTACCCTGGACGACAGGTGAATGAGCCAATCAGATTCTGTAGGACTGGAGATCTTGTCCGTTACAGAACCGATGGGAGTATCGTAATCTTGGGGCGAAAGGACTTTCAGGTGAAGGTCCGTGGGCAACGTGTAGAGCTTGGCGAGGTCGAGGCACATCTGCGGAAGCAGTTGCCGAACTACATCTCCGCTGTTGAGGCTATTAAACGACCCAATAGGCCAAACAACACTATTCTTGTTGCATTTGTCTCTGGACCGCGCCGACATGAAGACAGTACGCTTTTTGGAACGTCGACGGCGAAGACGTTCGTCTTCGACGACAGTGCTTCAAAGCGCATTGTGGCGAAGCTGATGGAGAGCTTGCCCCGGTACTCGGTTCCATCCTACTTCATCCGCACAAAGGAAATGCCAAAAATTCCAACGGGGAAAATAAATCGAAGAAAGCTTAGAGAGATTGGCACGAATATGTTGCAGGAGACAAACGGAATCGTCACCTGGCCAGCTGAAGGCCAAGTCGCTCCCGCAGACGAGACAATCAACACACTGCGTCGACTGTGGTCTCAAACTCTAGACCTGGATATTGGTTCGATAGACTCCGAGACTAGCTTCTTCCGGCTTGGAGGTGACTCGATTGCAGCGATAAAGATGGTCAACAAGGCCAAGCTATTGGGCCTGGCGATGAACGTGGGCGACATCTTCCAGAGTGCCAACATCCGTGATCTTGCGGCGAGGATCCGACCAGTCTTCAGTTTAGACCGTGCCATCACCTCTACGGCCTATAGTGGGCCTGTAGAGCAGTCATTCGCGCAGGGCCGTCTCTGGTTCCTCGACCGTCTCAATCTCGGAGCGGCCTGGTACCTCATGCCCTTTGCATCTCGCCTTCGGGGACCACTCAATACTAAGGCACTCGCTGCCGCGCTTCAAGCACTTGAGGAGCGACATGAGACATTGAGGACAACGTTCGAAGACGATAGAGGCGTAGGCATACAAGTGGTCCACCCGCACCGTCCACAGGAACTCCACATAATTGATGTCTCTTCATACAGAGAAGCTGAGGTTCTTGAGGCAGTGAAGGCAGAGCAGACGAAGCCTTTTGATCTCACCTCGGAGCCGGGATGGAGGGTTCGCTTGTTCCAGGTCGGTGAAAGTGACCACATCTTGTCTGTCATGATGCATCATATCATCTCTGATGGTTGGTCAGTTGATGTCCTACGTCGAGAGCTGTACGATTTTTACGCTGCGGCATTAAGCAGCAAGGAGCCACCGTCTCCAGTTACACCTCTCCCAATTCAATACCGTGACTTCGCAGTATGGCAACGACAAGCAGACCAGGTTGCAGAGCATAAGAGACAGCTTGATTATTGGACTAAGAAGCTTGCCGATAGTACACCAGCAGAGCTTTTATGCGACCGACCGAGACCTAAAGTACAATCTGGCAAGGCTGGAGTTGTCCCTGTTGCTGTTGAAGGGTCGCTGTATGTGCGACTTCAGGCCTACTGCCGCGCTCAGCACGTGACTCCCTTCGTCGTGCTATTAGCAGCCTTCCGCGCTACCCACTATAGACTTACTGGTACTGAAGACGCTACTATTGCCACCCCTACTGCCAACCGTAGCCAGGCAGAGCTCGAACAGTTGATTGGCTTCTTTGTCAATACCCAGTGCATGCGCATCACTGCGACCACTAACGACACATTCGATGACCTGGTCCGGCAGGTCCGTCAGACGACGACGGAAGCTTTCGCCAATCAAGATGTACCTTTTGAGCAGCTCGTGTCGGCGCTACTACCCGGATCACGAGATACCTCACGTAACCCATTAGTTCAGCTCATGTTCGCTATCCATTCACAGCGACGCCTTGGCCAGCTTCACCTTGAAGGTGTGCAGGACGAAGCCTTGTTTCTTTCACCAACCACCCGACTCGATATAGAATTCCACATGTTCCAGATAGATGACAGCCTAAGCGGACATGTCCTCTACGCACTCGATTTGTTCGAAGCTGAGACGATAAACGGGATGCTTTCTGTCTTCTACGAGATTCTTCAACGAGGTCTTGCGGAGCCACAAGGGCTCATAGCCACCCTTCCGCTGACAGACGGGCTTCCGCAGCTTCGTCAGCAAGGTCTGCTCGATATGGAGCAGACACAGTATCCCCGCGAATCAAGCATTGTCGACGTCTTCCACGACCAAGTAGCCACTTGTCCAGAAGCTATAGCAGTCAAAGACTCTTCGACCAAGCTCACATATGTGGAGCTCGATCAGAAATCAAACGAACTGTCTAGCTGGCTGCGGCGACGAAAGATGGCACCTGAGACTCTAGTCGCCGTGTTAGCACCGCGCTCCTGCCAGGCTGTCATTGCCCTCCTTGCCATCCTCAAGGCCAACCTTGCATACCTGCCGCTCGATGTCCAGGTACCTGCAGCCCGTATCGAAGCTATTTTGTCCGCTATCCCGGGACAGAAGTTAGTCTTGCTGGGCGCTGACGTCTCGGCCCCCGAGGTTCATGTTGAAGAAGTTGAGATGCTACCCATTGCTGCCGGATTTGGCCATTCATACCAGAATGATACTGTCAAGCAGGATAGCCCGTCTGCAACTAGCCTTGCATACGCAGTCTTTACTTCTGGATCGACGGGCAAGCCAAAAGGTGTCATGATTGAGCATCGGGGTATTATACGATTGATGAAGAACAGTACACTTTCACGTACTATCCCTTCCAACATCCAAATGGCCCACCTGTCAAACATGGCCTTCGACGCATCTCTCTGGGAGATCTTCATTGCGATTCTGAACGGCGGAACGGCGATTTGCATCAACCACGCGACGACAATGAACATCGAAGCCCTTGGAGATCTGTTCGTGCGTGAGGACGTTCACGCCGCCGTACTTTCTCCAGCGCTCTTGAAGCAGTGCTTGGCTTATGCACCGAAGATGCTTGCCAAATTGGACAGCCTGTATATCGCCGGAGACCGACTTGATCGTGTAGATGCTGTGGCCGCCCTCGCACTCGTACGAAATGGTGTCTATAACGCTTACGGGCCGACAGAGAACAGTATTCAAAGCACGATGTTCAAGATAAAGAAGGATGAGAGATTTGCTAATGGTGTGCCGGTCGGTCGCGCTGTTAGTAATTCCGGGGCCTACGTGATGGACACCAAGCAGCAGCTTGTCCCTATTGGGGTCATGGGCGAGTTGGTGGTAGCGGGTGACGGTCTTGCTCGCGGATACACAGACTCGGCACTAGACGTCGGTCGGTTTGTGAATATCAACGTTGACGGTTGCATGGTGCGCGCGTACCGTACAGGCGATCGAGTTCGGTGCCGACAGGACGGTGAACTTGAGTTCTTCGGCCGTATAGATCACCAAGTCAAGATTCGTGGCAACCGAGTTGAGCTAGCTGAAGTCGAGCACGTTATACTCAATCACGACAGTGTCAGTGATGCCGCTGTTGTTCTCCGCCAGAAAGACAGTACAGAGCAGGAAATGATCGCATTTGTCGTAGCTAAGGACGCCTCCCGCATGGCTAACGGTACACTAGAAGATACCAAAACCGAGGCGAAACTGGAACTAGAAAGGCAGGTGCACAGGCACTTGCAAAGGACACTACCAACATACATGATTCCGGCACAGATTGTCATCCTGGAGCGCATGCCAATTAATGCCAATGGCAAGGTTGACAGAAAAGAGCTAAGCGCAAGAGCGCAGACAACCACGAGGAAGAGACTGACAGTGCAACATGTAGCGCCTCGCAATGAGACAGAGAGGGCGTTATGTGAGGAGTTTGCAAGCGCTCTTGGAGTTGACGACGTCGGCGCCACTGACGACTTCTTTGAGCTTGGTGGACACTCTCTCACAGCGATGAAGCTGGCCGCACATGTCAGCCAGCGATTCAATACTACGGTCTCTGTCAGAGATATCTTCGACTATCCTGTTCTCGCTAATCTTGCGACTACTCTACGGCAAGACTTGAAGCAATACCAGTCTATTCTGGCTACAGAATACCGTGAACCGGTCGAGCAGTCATTTGAGCAAGGTCGTTTGTGGTTCCTGGACCAGCTGAACGTAGGATCCTTATGGTATCTAATGCCGCTTGCGACGCGCATCCGCGGATCCCTCGACCGCGTCGCACTCAATACTGCGCTTCATGCTCTTGAGCAGCGACACGAAACGTTACGGACTACTTTTGAGGAGCACAACGGTGTCGGAATGCAAGTAGTCCAGCCATGGAGGCTAAAGAGCATCAGGACCATTGACATATCTACGTATAACGACGACGAAGTCAGCAAAGCATTGAAGATTGAGCAGACGAGATCTTTTGATCTCAGCGTAGAGCCAGGATGGAGGGTCTGCTTGTTCCAGCTCAGTGGAGACGAGTATATCCTGTCGATCGTCATGCACCACATCGTCTCTGACGGGTGGTCGGTAGACGTGCTCCGCCATGAGCTGGATGTCTTCTACAGCGCGGCCCTCAAAGGGGATGACCCGTTGTCGCAGATCACGCCGCTCCCAATCCAGTACCGTGATTTTGCAGCGTGGCAGAAGCAACCAGAACAAGCATTGGAGCAAGACAAGCAGCTTAAGTACTGGACCAAACAACTCGCCAATAGTACGCCAGCAGAGTTTCTCTGTGACAAGCCAAGGCCCGAAGTTCTCTCAGGCGAGGCTGGTGTCGTTCCCTTCACGATTGTCGGACCGCTGTATGAGAGCCTTCAGGCGTATTGTCTTGCTCATCAAGTCACGTCTTTTGTCGTCCTACTGGCTGCCTTCCGCGCGACACACTATAGGCTGACCGGTACCGACGATGCTACCATCGGTATGCCTACAGCCAACAGGAATCGACCGGAGCTTGAAAACTTGATCGGCTTCTTCGTCAACACCCAGTGCATCCGGACTGCTGTCACATCTAATCAGACATTTGAAGGTCTAGTGCGACAGACTCGCGATTCGGCAACAGAAGCGTTCGCTAACCAAGATGTGCCTTTTGAGCAGCTTGTCTCAGCCCTGCTCCCAGGTTCGCGAGACACATCGCGTAACCCACTTGTGCAGCTGTTATTTGCAGTTCACACGCAGCGAGATCTCGGTCGTCTACAATTTGAAGGGTTGCAAGCCGAACTCATAGAGATGACGCCAACAAGTCGGCTGGACATGGAGTTTCACTTCTTTCAGGAAGACGACTGTCTACATGGTAGTCTGCTATACTCGACTGATATCTTCGAACCTGAGACAGTTAAGGGACTATTACTAGTCTTTAACGAGATCCTCCGCCGCGGCCTCGAAGAATCGGCATTGCCAATCGCTACTCTTCCGCTTACAGATGGTCTTTCGGAGCTCCGCAGGCTCAACCTGCTCGACATTGAGAAGACGCCATATCCGCGAGACTCAAGCATTGTCGACGTCTTCCGTGAGCAGGTCGCTGTCTGCCCAGAGGCAATGGCAATCAAAGACTCTTCATCTGAATTGACGTATTGTGAACTCGATCGACAATCAGAGAGGTTAGCCGCCTGGTTGTGCCAACGACGGATGGCTCCTGAAACTCTAGTTGGTGTCCTTGCGCCTCGTTCCTGTCATACGATTGTTGCCTTTCTCGGTATTCTCAAGGCGGGTCTTGCGTACTTGCCGCTCGACGTCAATGTCCCTGTCGCGCGCACTGAAACGATCCTTTCAGCTGTCGCTGGCCACAAGCTCGTCCTACTCGGGTCTAGCGTACAATCTCCAGAGATCGCGGTGCCGGATGTTGAAATGATTACAATCAGCGACACCTTGAAATACTCAGACACCAACGTTGCTTCAATCCGGAGATCATCGCCCTCTGCGACAAGTCTCGCATATGTCATTTTCACATCCGGCTCTACAGGCAAGCCGAAAGGCGTCCAGCTTGAACATCGCAGCATCGTCCGACTCATACGGGACAGCAATCTTGTTTCTATGCTTCCGCCATCGCCTCGTACCGCGCACCTGACAAATATCGCATTTGACGTGTCCGTATGGGAAATCTGTCTAGCTCTACTGAATGGAGGATCCGTTATCTGTATTGAGAATCCTGTCACGATGGAAAGCACAGCACTCCAA